CTCTGAGTCCCCGAGGCCCCTTTCAGGCCGCCCAGATTCCCAGCTGATCCCCTGTGCCTCATTTTCAAGTTTGGGGATCAGTGCAGGGAACAGAACTGCAGAGAGCGTGACCTAAAGCCAGCACTTTGGAGAAGAGTGGCCGTTCTTATCTGAGCAGCTGCGTGACCTGTCCTGTGTGGTCCTCAGTGCCCTGCCTGCTAATCGGGCACCATCAGAATGGTCCTTCCTCAGGGCTTGTATATCAGGGAGGCCAAGTGTGTGAAGCAGCAGCCTTTGGGTGGCCAGAGTCAACACACGGCAAACAGGGCTGTTTCTGCAGCCTCCGCAGCCCCTCTTCCTTCCTTCCTTTCCCATCCTCTCCCTTGCATCCCTTGCCCTCATTTTTGTATCCATCTCTTCCACCCTCCTCCTCTCCCTGAGCAGGTTGGGTGCTGGCTTGGGTCCAGGCCCCACTGCTGCTGACTCTCTGGGACTTAGCTAAATGCCTCAACAGTCTGATGGGGGGCTGCCCAGGTCAGCGGTCCTGGGCCTTTTGTCTCCTGTGTGGCTGCCCCGTGTTCAGGTGCCTCAGCATTTATTCCACTCCCAGGCAGGACTGTTTGGAGCTGGGAGGATAAGGCTGGCTCCATCCACCCTTGCAAGCATCCGAGCTTCCTGTCCAAGGTCACTGTTCCTCCAAGCGTCCTCCAGGCCCACCTCCCCTTTGTGTGTGGACACCTCTGGGAGCAGGAGGCTAGGCAGGGTCCCTGGGGCCCCGGCAGACCCCTGAATTCCCGAGGCCAGAAGGCAAGCTGGTCAGACATGCGGCTTCACAAAAGAGTTAACTGAAGCTGAGAGAGGGTTGGGGTTGCGGCCAACACTGTGGGGCATGGGTGGGGGTGTTGAGGGAAGTGGGTGGGAGGGAGGGGAGAGACATGGAAGGACAGGTCTTGGTCACTGGTAAGGGGTGCCCTCGAGGGGTGGAAGCTGAGCACTGGCCATGGGTGGTGGTGCAGGATGGAGCCAGGAACTGCTGGGAACGAGGGGCTGCAAACAGCCTCCTGAATTGTCACTCAGCACCTCTGTCGCTGTGTCTCCTGCTCTCCCCAACACATGCCCCTGGCCCCAGTTGGCCTGTACCCTAGTCTGCTGCCCTGTCCCACTGCCATTCACCGTCTCCTCCGGGGGATGAAGCCCCTGTCTCTTCCTCCTCTGTCATGGCCGGCGTGGAGCTGTCACCGCCGGTAGACCTGCTGGCCCCCGTCTCTTTCTCCTTGGTCCGGCTGCCGGCGCCGAGCTGGGGGCCATGCGGTGCTGCTGTGGGAGTTTTGGGTTTTTCCAATTAACTGTCTGGGCCAAGGACACCAGCGGGCACACAGTCCTGCTGTGATTGTTGAGGCCCTGCGCCTGGTGAGCCCTGCTCTTTCTGTTGCTTCCGAGTTGGCTCTAGGGACCAGGGCTAGCGCCTGGGGTTGAGGGGAGCCAGGCTGGTGCTCTGGAGCTGCCCTGGGCCCTCCCGGACTTCCTGCTGGGCCTGCAGGTGGAAAGCACTCCTCGGGCTGCATCAGTTAGGGGGATGACCTCTCCCCCGGGGTGGGACCATCTGCTGGGCTGTGTCGCATGGATCTCTGGGACACAGGGTTCAGCTCAGGGCCCCACCCCAGGGGACGGGGACAGCTGGAGCAGGTCCAGGGGGATGTTGAGAGGGGTGAGGCACCTGGGATGGTTGGATGGAGGGCTCTTACCTCTCAGGGGCTCATTTGGGATTGGGGGACAGGCTTGGCTAGAACTCAACTCAACCAGTCCCTGCAGTTCTAGAATTGTGCCCTCATCTCCCCAGAAATTCCTTCTTGCCCATTGCCCTGCCCTCACTCTAGGGAGGATATAGGTAGGCAGGCAGGGGAGGTAGACACAATGTGAACAGAGGTGTGGCAGGACGGACCCAGAGGCCTGAGTGCACCTGCCAATTCACTGAGCTGGAGCGGCCTCGAATTCTGGCACCAGTGCCCAGCAGAAGGATATCATGATGGGAACTTCCCTGGCAGTCCAGTGGTTAAGATGCCGTGCTTCCACTGCAAGAGGCACAGGTTCCATCCCTGGTCAAGGAACTAAGATCCTGCATGCTGCATGTATAGCTGAAAAAAATAGGGGGAGAAAAGGATGTCATGGTGGGTCTTTGGGTAGACCCAGGAAGAAAACCTGGCAGGTGTGGCCCCAAACTCCGAAGGATGGCACATCTGCAGGAGGAGGTGGAGGAGTCAGACCTAGGTCGTGCTGGCCCTGGAGGTTTTCTCCTGAACATGGAACTGGGCACACGCATTGACTGATGGTTCCTTTGTACATAGACCCAGTGCCTGGGGAGCAATGGAAGGGAGGTGGCCATGGTTGTATACTGTCCATGGCGTCCCTGTGTATAGGCCCCCCTGTTATCACCACCGTGGCTGAGGCCAAGATGGTGGAGACAAAGACAGGCTGACTGATGGAAGTGGGGCTGTCCAAGGAGGCCTGGGAGGGAGGGCGGGATGGGAGGTGGGCAGACAGGGGGAGACCAAGGCTGCCAGCCCAGCAGTGGGAGCCAAAGGCTTTGGATCCTAAGTATTCAAACCTAGCTGGGAGAGAGTGGAGGGAGAGTAGAAGCAGGAATAGGGCTATGATTCTGTCCGCAGAATTCTGGTGATCCTAAACAATAGCAATAATGCTGCAAAAATTAATACAGGCTCTTCGTGGCATGAGTCTTTTGGTCCTTGATCAGTGTGTTAGGGGAGGACTGCCATTCTCTGATTTAACAGATCAGACACCGCAATGGGGTATTTCTTAGCAGGGTCCCTGCTTCCAAGCCCTTGCATCCGCTGTCACGGTCCTTGGGTGTGACCCTGCCACTTGGAAACCCACTCTCTCTGCGGCCCCTGAGCCCTGGCTCAGCACCAGGTTCCCCAGGGGCATCCTAGACCCAGAGGGGAGGGACCCCCAGCTTCCCAGAGGAGAGCTGTCAGGAGGCTGCAAGGTCCAGCCTCCAGTACCAGGGCTGCCCCCACCATGGACAGCCCTGACTGCTGGGGTGCCAGGAGATGACCTTGAAGGGGAGTCAGATATGGGAACTTCATCCCCTGCCCGGAGAAGCCAGGCGGCTGCGCCCCCTGCTGACGCCAGCTGGCCAGGGTGCACTCAACAAAAGTTTCAGCCAGTGTGGTTGAGTGAGGCCTCAACACACCTGGGGCGGTGGTCCAGGATGGGGAAAGGGTGTGTATCTTTCAAGTCCCGAAACCTGGGAAGATGTCAGGGACGACGGGTGACTGGCTTTGCCCCTCACAGTCATGCGGCCTTGACCTGTCCTCTCCTATTTCTGAGCCTCAGTTTCTCCCGCAGTGGGCCCTGGGCTCTGGCCTCCCTGCGTTTCTCAGTGACCTCCCCTGGGCTCTGACCCCACCACTGTCTTCCATCTGGGGGCTTCTGGCCTGAGGCAGGCCCTGGGGAGCCCGGGGAAGCAGCCTGACCCGGCGCCCACTGGGGGCCTCCCTCCTGCCTGGCCATGCAGCCAGGCCTGTGACTCTCCCTGTAATCGCTGCGGCTCTGTGGGAAGGAGCGACTTCACCACAAATTATTTTGTTCTAAGAGAAGGACAAAAAGAAAAGAGAAGCCGGGAGGGATGGGGGTGGTGGGAGGAGACTGCCTGAGCCAGCTTTGAGCGGTGCTTTAACCCTTGGACTGCCAGGGGCTGCCTGGGCAGCAGGCCGGGGCTCTGAAGGCACCCAGTCCCCCACCTCCTCCCCTGTCACAAGCCAGAGGCCTTTATCTGCCTACTCTGCCTGTCACTCTCCCGACCTTATCTCCCCCGCCTGTCTGTCTCTCATCAGCGGCCTCTCCCACCTCCTTATCGCCTCCTCATCGCCTCCTCTCTGTCTCTCCACATCCCTCCACTCCTGCACAGCCCGATGGCAAAGTCTGGTGGCCGCGGTTCTGTCGTGGCGACCAGCCCGTGACCTTGTGCTGAAGGAGCCAGCTTGCGGCACAGATTTCCTGGGGTCACCTGGTTGGACACGGGGGCTCATTCAGGCTCAGAGGCACATGTAGGGGTGTGCAGTGCACAATTGCGCACACACGCATACACACATGCGCACACCCAAGACCCCTGTCGTGAACAAAGACGCCCACGGAAACCTGCTTCCGCAGTTCACGTACAGCCCCCAGACTTCATCCAGCGGCCCTAACCCCCACCCCATCTCAACGCTCGGGCTCGTACACACGGATGGGTGTGTGTTGAGCCATAGCACACATTCACACACGCAGATGCTGACTCTCAGATTTACACCCTCACATGCATGTGCACACAGGCCAAGCCCCACCAAGGAAGAGGGGAGGCAGATTCGTTCCCCCCGTGCGCCTCTTCTTCCCCGATCCCTGCCCCCACATTCTGTGCCTAGGACAGAGGAGCCCCTCGGGGCACACCGAGCTCCCACAGTGGTTTCTACAAATGCCTTGGGGAAGCGCCAGCCAAAGTGGGGTATGGATGCCTGAGCCTGTGTGGAGAGGTGGCTTGGGGTGTGTGTGATGCATGTGTGGGTTGATGGGTGTGAGAGCACCTTCGTGTCGGTACGTGGTGTACAGCGTGTGCCTCTTGGCTCCATCTCCCCACAGCACCCTGCCTCCCATCCAGCACCACCACCACCCCCCCGCCGCCGCTGTTATTAGCAAGCCTGAGCCGGTCAGGGAGGTGCCGCTTGTGGCCCCTGGACAGGGAACCCTGAGTCCCAGAGAAGGCGGTGACAACCTCGTCCCACCAGACTCACACAAGCAGTGCAAGCAGTGGAGCCATGGCTTGAACTTCTTCCACGTCTATTGGAGCTTGGGCGGGACCCCCAGACCTCCCTGTTCTCTCTCGATGGCCAAAGCTGGGGTCAAGGTAGAGGTGAGGACTGTTCCGTGGGGAACTGTGCAGCGAGGGTGTCTCAGGACATTTCTCAGCCATGTCTCAGGAGTGGGGGATCACCCTGGCCTCACCCCAGGCTTTTGCTTCCTTCCAGATCTACAAGGACAACAGGAATCTGTTTGAGGTGCAGGAGAATGAGCCTCAGAAGCTGGTGGAGAAGGTGGCGGGGGACATTGAGAGCCTGCTGGACAGGAAGGTGCAGGCCCTGAAGGTAGGTGTGGTCGTGTGGGTGGAGGGAGGACCAGGCAGAGTGGCCTGCACCGTGAGGGCACCTCCCCGACCTGCCGTGAACACACAGCCCTCCTGGCCCTCTGAAGCCAGGCCAGGCCATCACTGGCAAGCTGTGCCACGTGGACTGTGGGCAGCTGCTGGCAGGAGCAAGATGGTTTCATGTGGAGCCGGGGCCTCGGGGGCCCTGCACGGGTACAATGTCAACCCCGGTCCTCCCTCTGTTGGGCTTGGGGTCTTCCTGTTCCTCCACTCTGCCTATGAGTGTGCTAAGGGTGAGCACTTGGCCAGGATGTGTGTGTGTGTGCGTGCTCGGTCATGTCTCTTTGCCACCCAATGGGCTGTAGCCTGCCAGGCTTCCTCTGTCCATGGAGATTCTCCAGGCAAGAATACTGGAGTGGGTTGCCATTCCCTTCTCCAGTGGATCTTCCCAACCTAGGGATCAAACCTGTGTCTCCGGCATTGGCAGGCGGATTCTTTACCACTGAGCCACCTGGGAATCCTCCCTGGCCAGGATAGTGACCTATTAGTGGCTGGGAACATGACCTGCAGACTCTGAGGCAGGGGGAGCGTGGAGGGCCCTGAATGCCTCACAGAGCAGGCCGTGGTTATGTGATGCCGGAGGCTGGAGCTCCTGTTCTGCCCACGACTTCTCCACCTGCCTCTGGGCCTCAGTGTTCCCATCTCTGCTGAGAGCTTGTGCCTCTCAGCTCCAAGACACCATGGTCCTGTGAGGTGACAGGACCTACTGGTCCCCCTGACCAGGTCTGCAAAGCCAGCAGACCCTGGTACTCGACCCACCCCTGGGAGAGCAGGTGGAAAAGGGCTCCCAGAGCTGCAGGGTGCCCTGGGTGGGTTGTGCAGGAAAGAAGGGAAGGGGTCCAGGCTGCCCCCAGATCAGAGGCACAAACCACTGCTGCCCCTGCCTGTGTCACAGAGACGAGTCCAGCAGAAAAGAGTGAAATACTGGTACACATGACAGCATGGATGAATATGAAAATGTTATATTGAGGGAAAGAAGCTCGTCATAAGGAACACCTATTGTGTGATCCCATATCTGTGAGATGTCCACAATAGGCAAAAGCATAGAAATGGAAAGTACATTAGCAGTTGCCTAGGGCTGGAAGGGAGGGGACAGGGAGTGTCTGCTAATGGGTACAAGGTTTCTTTTTGGGGATGCTGAAAATATTCTAAAATTAGAATGTGGTGATGAGTGCACAACTCTGAAAGGCTAAAAAAAACAAACACTGAATTGTATACTTTATGTGAGTGAATTTTATAGTATCTCAGTAAAGACAGTATCTCAGTCCTTTTTTAACAAGCAAGACCACACAAGCAAGGGTCCCAGCAGGGTCAAATCAGAGCAGCCAAACCCCCACCACATCCAGGCCCTGGGAGGGAACGAGGAACCCCTTCTCCAGGAGCTGGGCCCTCCTGTGCCCCTGGCATCCCCTGCCTGTGCCAGGTGACTTGGGATCGTGAACTAGGGAAAGGCCAGCATCCAGGATCAGAGTGGGGGGGGACCCTGAGGGCATCCCACCTAGTGTGGACCCAGAGGGCCCAGAGTTGGGCCCAACCTGACCTTGGGGTTCTCCTAGTCACAGACAGGGAGACAGTTGGGGAAGTGGACTGTCATGGGGAGGAGGCAGAGCCAAGCCTTCAGCTGGTACGGTCGCCCCTGTGAAGTGCGACAATGTCCCCTGGTTGTAGGAACCGTCTGCCTGCCTCAAGCAGCCAGCGCACCATGTCCCACCCCTGTGCCTTATGCCTAGAACTGAACACTCTGCCCTCCTTTCTCTCGTTCTCTTTGTCCCTCTCTCCCCACTTTATTCCAGATCCCCTGTTTGCCCTCTACTTCCTTGCTTTGCAGCATGGCCCCTCCCCAGCTGCCCAGAGCACAGGCCACGAGCCCTGAACTTGTGCAGAAACCATCTGACAGTTTTGGGAAGCGTCCCCCTTTATGCCTGCTTCCCACCCCGGCTTTAGGACCAGTTACCTTGGCAGGGGTTGCTGAGCGGTGGTAACAACAGATGCCCCACCTGCCTTCCACACAGGGAGCCCGGGGCCCAGCCCTGCCCAGCCCCTGCCCAGCCCCTCTGAGCATCCCAGGGCTGGAGTCACTCCTCCAGCTCCTTTCCCACTCCTGGAGAAACAGGCAGCCTTGACGGCTGGAGGTTGGGGGACCCCAAAGCCTGGGTCTTGATCCCCACCCTGTCCCTATGCCCCACATGCCAGACTCTGCCCCAGAGACAGTGTGGATGTCTGCCTCCTTCCCACCGAATCCAGCCTGGGTGCCCTGGTTCTCCAGGGAGGAATGACAGGAAGAGGCACTCACTGATCAGGTACTCACCATCCTCTGAGTCTGTCATGTCATCTCACAGCAGTCCCTGAGGGAGAGAGACACTGAGACTCGGACATGCCATGCGTTCGGCCAGGTCTCTCTGACCCGAAGCCAGGCCCCTGACTGCCCACGTTAGTCCAGAGGTGTGCACGGAGCCCAGCGCTCTCCTGGCCAGTGAACCCCTCCTACTGCAACACCCCCTGCTCCAGACCCAGAAGATGCTCCTGTCCATATCTCTGGGGCAAGGAGAGGACCGTCCTTCACCTACCTTGGTCCTAGCTGTTCAAGATGAGCTTTGCTCTTCCTTGTTGTTCATTTTGCTTTTAATCAAGCTCTGGCTCTTTTCTCCTTTCGCACGTGTGTTTGCAGCCTCAGTGCATGTGGAGAGAGAGATGTTGGGGGTCTGGACCTCTCCACACTCTGTTGTCCCTCTAGCCCTGGACCCCATCCAAGAATCCAACTTAAATCCGCTTGCCCTGGTCTGCAGTTTTAATGTGAAGCTTGAAAGGAGGGGACCGAGCAACGCAGGACGGAAGTTCATTGTCTCATCTAATCAGGGACAGCAAGTTGTTTGTAACAAGTTTCTCCAAGCTGCACAGAGAGATTTTTCCAGCCAAGAGTCAGGCAGAGCAGGCCAAGTCAGGGACTTCACAATGCCAGGCAAGTAGCTTCCTGAAGCCCAGGACACCTGCTAGAGCCTCAGCTCTTAGGAGACATGGCGGGGACCTTCTAGGGACATCTACTATCCTGGAGGATGGGTCCTCTGAGCCAGAGCCTGCTTTGTTTGGGTCTTGAGTTCCAGGAGGGGTAGGGAGGTGCCTCAGTTCTTCTAGCACATTGGAGGCAGAGCTGGACCCAAGTCAGGACTCTCCTGTCCTCCCAGATGGAGCCTCCCTCAGAGTCCCTTCCTCAGAAAGGTCATCTCTTGGTTGTATTCCTTCCTCCATCCATTCTTCAGCACTCACTAAAGGCCTACTATGCGCCAGGCCAGTGCTGGGAGTGCAGTGAGGAAGGACAGGCCCCGTTCCTGTCCTCTTGGAGCTCTCAGTCTCATCCTGTCCCAGGTCTTAGTTTATCCCTCTGGGAAATGGGGACATGAGACCATCCCTGCCCAGTACTTCCGGTTTCACAGCTCCAGGGGTCATCATTTATAAAGGCCACAGTGCAAACAGTACCTCTGAAGGTTGTGTCACTTTCAACACCATCCGGGCACCCCTGCTATGGGGCTCAGGGGAGAGGCCATGGGAGGTGAGGCATGACCCCACCGTGGGACATCCCAGGCTGCTTTCAGGGACAAGGCCAAGGGCAGTGTGGCTCAGTGAGCGTGGTTCCTAGAGAAAGGAAGCCCAGGGCCAGAGCAGCCAGGCCAGAGCAGGTTGTTAAGGGACATTAGTGTGGCAGCTAGAAGTCTGATCTCAGGGACAACTTTACACCTCCAACCTCAAATAAACTGGAGGCAGTGAATTTCTGGCCGAGATCCAGGACCTGGAGACTTTGACCCTTGAGTTCTGCCCTCCCCCGACCCGCCACCCAGCGCCTGTGTTCCTCATGCTCCCCCCTCAGCTCCTTCTCATTGTCCTGGGGGCCCAGACCATTCTAGAGCCCATGCCTTTGCATCTTTGCCTTCGTGCAGAGTTTTTAACCCTGTGGGCACACTGGAGTCACCTGCAGGGCTTTTAAATGGTTATGCCTAGGCCCCACCCTCAACCATGTATAGTAGATTATGTAGGGATGAGGCTGGCCTTCAGTATTTCTCAACGGTCCACAGATGATTCAGTGTCGAATCAGAGTTCACTACATTTCCCCTAAAAAGGCAGAAATAATTTCTCGCCACAATTACTGGCCTCTTTCTGAGTGTCTACCAAGTGCGCAGCCTAAGATAAGCTGAAACACTTCAGATGTCTGCAGATCCTCCCTGCAACCCGAGAGTTACCCCCCTCCTATCCCCATTTTGGGCTTCCCTGGTGGCTTAGATGGTAGACAGTCTGCCTGCAATGCGGGGAACATGGGTTTGATCCCTAGGTCGGGAAGACTGCCTGGAGAAGGAAATGGCAACCTACTCCAGTATTCTTGCCTGGAGAATTCCACAGACAGAGGAACCTGGCGGGCTACCATCCATGGGGTCACAAAGAGTCAGACACAACTGAGAGACTTTCACATACATGCGTACATACATCCCCATTTTACATTTGAGGAAGCAGCCGCAGAGAGGTTACACAACTGGCCCCAGATCTCAGAGCAAAACTAGACCATAGATTCAGGTACTCGGGCTCCAAACCCCAGAAACTGCCCTCCTCTGTGCTGCCGCTAGTGGCCAGGTGCACTTGCTATCCACAAGAGGACAGGGCCAAGGGAAGAGCAGATGGTTCCTCTGTGGCAGAGACTTGCTCTGGGATGACCTAGTGACCTTGGGCCAGGCCTTGCCCCCGCTGCATCTTCCTTGGGCAGTGGAGATAAGACACTGGGCAACCCTCCCAGCCCAACCCCGTGATGCCCAGAGGGATACGACAGGGAGAGGTACATCAGTGGCTCTGGTCCTAGGGGTTCCAGTGGGCAGCATTCCCACCATCAGTGGCCTCTCTGGGGAGCGAGCATCATTTAAGAAGTAAAATTAAAAACCCTTCTGCACAGGGCCGCCCTGC